GGGTGTGTGTGTCATATTTCACTTTACTAGTAGCCTAATTTTTCTAGACATTAATGCCAGTTGTATTATTTTTAAATTCAAGATAAGTAATGTTCAGCCAATCTGTAGTTTGCTTTCCTCTATGCACTTTCCATTCATTCTCCACTTCATAGCTGAGTGATAGTTTTAAGAAATTGGTATAATAATCATGTTAGGGATATGACAGAGTTTGTGATTGGAAGTAGTACAGAAGACAGCTGGCTTGAATAACATAACTTTTATTCGTTGTTAGATAATGAAATATGTATTAAATCGTCATGTTGAAATGTTGGTTCAGTAACACAACAGAAATGGGAGAGGGAAGTTGAGAGTAAGAATCTTAGCTGGAATGTGGAGAGCTAGGTTTCCACAGCAATGGGACACTCTATCCCAAGTTTCAGCCTATAAAAACGGCTAGAAAATAAGATAAAACCATTGTAAATGGTAAAATAGTGACGTCATTGGATGGGAAATGAATGAGGAAATTGCAGTTAGAGGAATGACAAGAGCTGAAGGTGGAGCTGGGGTAGAAAGGAGGTGGAACTGGGAAAGGTGAAGAAATGTTAGTGTTTTTCTGCGTGACCTGTATAAATATTGCTGCCATTTTCTTTGTGGTAAACCTGGCTATTCCAGAAGGCACCAGTTAGTTTTCTACTGTCGTAATAAAACTTATATAGTCGAAGGCTTTCATGGCTGGAATCACTCAGTTCTTGTGGGTTTTTTCGGGCTATATGGCCATGTTTTAGAGGCATTTCTCCTGACGTTTCGCCTGCACCTATGGCAAGCTTCCTCAGAGGTGAAACCTCACCTCTGAGGAAGCTTGCCATAGATGCAGGCGAAACGTCAGGAGAAATGCCTCTAAAAGATGGCCATATAGCCCGAAAAAACCCACAAGAACTGAGGAAAACTTATATAATTAATAAATAATAAATAAATAAACAAATAATCTCCTTGTTCCTGTTCTTAATTGGGAAACAAGCCCAGGAATATTTAAATGAAGCCCTGCCTTAACAATACCATGATGGTTTGACAAATGGTAGGCACACGATACAGGGAAAACCAAAGTATGAATGATAAAGTATGTTTTTTCATTTTTTTTGTCGGAGACTCAGCATTTAGGGACTATTTTAAGTCTTATATCAATTTGATTTCAATTATTGCTATTTTATCTTTTGAAATAAGCAATATTATTCTTACATTGACCAGGTATGAAATGTTGTTTCTACCAGAAATGGTCCTCATTAATGTATTGTCGTAAACTTTCATGGCCGGAATCACTGGGTTGTTGTAGGTCAGACCTCACAACCCCTGAGGATGCCTGCCATAGATGCAGGCAAAACGTCAGGAGATAATGCTTCTAGAACATGGCCGTATAGCCCAAAAAACCTGCAACAACCCGGTCTTCTTTAAGCCATGAATCCTATTATTAATTTTACCCCATTAAATCAGTTGCTGAATAATAAGACAACACAATGCAAATCCACTAGAGTCAAGAGGTCTATAACCTGTTGACTATAACAGAACTACCAATTGAATTAAGTCAATTGAATATATTTTTGCTCTAAAAATCCAAAAATATTATATACACATGAATTAACTTTATTGCCGATATAACTTTGGTAATCTAGATTCTCCGTCTGTATGTGTGTTCTCCTATGTCCTCAGGTTGCCTGTTAACATCTGGTGACCCCATTAATTTCACACATTCTTAGGCAAGGAATACGCAAAAGACGGTTTTACCAGTTTTTTCATCTGAAATATAGCCTTGGCATTTCTTGTTAGTGTGCAGTCCAAGTACTAACCAGGACTGGCCCTTCTTAGCTTCCAAGATCAGATAGACTTTGGTGGTTTTCAGGCCTCTCTAACCCCCCCCCCCCCATAGGTTTTTATGCTGCATGATATCTTTGATTCAGCCTTTTAATAGCTTCTGTTATTAAAACATAGTTAAGTTCCTCCTCTTACGGAGCAGTTACTTCTGAATAACCGTAGGTAGGACAGGTCTAAATATCTGTAATCTACAGCATATTTACTCTAAAATTAAGTATAGTGGAAGTCAATGGGACATAATGCATGTTTTCTTAAAATATAATCTCACTGTATTTAACCAACGCTTACATCTAACTCTGCATATTTTGTATTGCAACATTAGGATGAGACATATCAGTTTTTAAATGTTCATTTCCTATATATCAAAGTGAATCCAAAAATTTTATGAAAGAAATCTGAAACTCTGTGTATTTCCATTGCTACTACCATCATCCACTAAAGAATAGGTTCGGAAGAACACCCCTTAAGCTATTGAATAAAGATGCCTAAGCAGCATAATGGGAAACCGCTCTTTAACCTTTTGACCTTGCTGAGCATAAAAGGATCTAGCATTTCAGTATCATGCAGATCTCTACATTCTGGCCTCTCCAACAGATGGAAGTTTACTTTGGCCTTATAAAGTCATTTTACTCAGCTGGAAGCCCTTGTCGCATGACAGATGATCAAAAATAGACCAGCTGCAGCTTGTCCTGTCAATCACCCTGCACAAAATGGCATAAGAGTGGGGCGCCTGCAAAGAATCTGGGCATATTATGAACTTAAAGAGGTTCTAAAGGGATAAAGTTTCATTAACTTCCCACCTGTTACGTTTCTTGGCTAAAATAAAACAAATCACAAGAGCTTATGTTCATTTATGTCTGTCGATTTTTTTCTTTTAACAAGAAGACAAGCCCTATAATCCACGATGACTATGTTTCTGTTGCCACAGAAAGCTGGAGGGTGTTTTTTTCTTTTCCTGCTAACTCCTATGATAGACTGACCTTCACATGATTGTTAAAGACTCTGCTTTGTTGGACTTGGCAGAAGGAAGCCTCTGGAACTATCTCTTTTAAATGACATAATCTAAAAACATTTTGTATAGTTCCAAAATAGTATAACAAAAATTCTAAATATCTCTAGAATTAGCTTTAACTATACATTTAAAAAGTTGACTCAGTATCTCACTATTTTAGAACTAATCTGCAAATGCTATTGATTACTAAATAAGGTCAACTTCTTTTTCCATACCTCACTCTTAACACATTGCTGTTCTCCCATCTTGACTGTAAATATTTTTTGTAGTTTCTGAATTTTTTGCTGTTAAAGTTTCAGACATTGAAGGAGGAGTTATTAGGGGCCAAGCTTACAGATCTGGGCTTTAGAAGTCTTGAAAAAATAGTTACGAGTCAACAACATTGCCAAACTGAAACTATTTTCTTGCTTGGCAACTTTAAATGAAAGTTGAAAATATTTTTTATCGAAACACATTTTAAAATTAATCTAAACTATATTTATATAGGATGACCAGGTGGAGCTGACTTGTGTAACAGCTGAAAAGGAAAACTTTGGACATTGCATGAGAAGTTGAAAGCTTTTATTCTGCATCTAGAGCTGTGTGTGTGAGTGTGTGTGTGTGTGTCTGTCTGGGTGTGCGTGTGTTGGTTCTCATTAGAGCTGCATTTCGTCTGGCCAGGAAGGTTTGTTTTCTTTCATATGGTTTCAGCCACTGGCCAAAGCTTTGAAAATACTATGATTAGTCTGACAGGAAATAATACATTTTGAGTTCTCTATGATATCAGAGGTGAATCCATGTACATATTTTATGACAAATACCTGGCCCAGTCTTGTGGATTAAGAATGTAAACAGAGAAGTTCATGTTTCAAGCACTGCTTTCATCATAATGCAGGCATTTCTTAACCTTAAACAAACAATTGCTTCTCAGCCTCTATTCTCTATCTACGATAATGATGATTAGCTTGCAGAGTTGTTCATAAATAAGCATTACTTTCAAAATACAGTATATATTGAAACTTTGAGCCTTTGAAATACTACAAAAATGCTGTGTTTTGTGATGCAGCAGCACTGCCTGCTTGTGCTGTTGAGTACAGAGAAAAAAGCACATTCCGTGATGTGTAGAATTGTGAAGTATGTATCTTGTAACAGTGGAGTTGTTCCTCAAAATATTTCTTTCTGCTTTTGTTAAACACTAGATCTTTGTGAACATAATCTGCTCTCCCTATCCTTTGCAAAGCTATGTCTTGTATAGAAATAAACACGCTGGCACAAAGCAGGACACCAGTGGCCAGATATGTCACCACAGGTTTGACTTTCGTGGCCTTACCACCTCTTCAGAAGTGTGATGCACATCTGCCTAGGGAATCACTGTTACAGATTTTAATGGCATCTCTGCAGCTTTCCCCAGTGGCCTTTTGTGACAGAGTGAATTGCACTATAGTCCGTTTGAAAAGTGTGATTCTTGCTGTGTTTACCACACTTGTGAACTATTTAAACTCCTTTGTCGCCTGTGTTTTTTTTAATTATTTTTTTTAATAAGGGTGACTGAGGTTGCAGAGGAATTAATGTGTGCTGAGTCTGCCTAGCAATTCAAGTAGGGTTGCCACGATACAAAACCTTTATTACCTTAGGTCAATACGTTTGTGTAATGAGATCAAACAAATGCAGAAGTGCTGGAGTACATTGTCAAATGAAACTTACCAAGTTAAAAAAAAACTGTAGCAGAGTACTATGGAATTAAGAATTTTATAAACCTTCACTATATCAGGAGGCATTAGGGGAAAGTGAGTCACCCTTATGTGGCTTTGAATTATACATTCTTCCGTAATAGTGGGGTAACTATTTCTTCTTTTGGTAGACCTACCACACAGATCTCAATATCCCCCTAAGTATTTTTCAGTGATTAGTAGTGTGGTTTTATAGCCCATCTGATCAGTCCTGCTAAGACAGTGCTAACAATGGCACTGTAATTTGTCTTTTCAATTTTTTGGGTAATTTCTCTCCTTTTGGCTTCTGAGGTGATGGATTTGTCTGTTGAAACCAGTTATTGTGGCAACCCTATGCACATAACAACAACTAAATTTGGGTTTGTTTTTAAATTCAGATCCTGGAAGGGAACCCTTACTTGTGAGTATTAACTTTATCTTCTGTTTCTCAACAGGATCCCTGCTCACTATGTATACCCACAGGCTTTTGTGCAACCAGGAGTAGTTATCCCACATGTCCAGCCGACCGCAGCTGCTGCCTCCACCTCACCTTACCTTGACTACACTGGAGCTGCCTATGCTCAGTATTCAGCTGCTGCTGCGGCCGCCGCAGCCGCCGCAGCCTACGACCAATATCCCTATGCAGCTTCCCCTGCTGCTGCAGGATATGTCACGGCCGGGGGCTACGGCTATGCAGTCCAGCAACCACTCACTGCAGCCACTCCTGGAACAGCTGCCGCAGCTGCAGCAGCTTTTGGGCAATACCAGCCACAACAGCTGCAAACAGATCGTATGCAATAGCAGATGGACTCATGAAGAAAGTTTATTTCTTATTCATTCTTTGTAGAATTTTACCTTCCAGCCTTCCAATAGAAATAGTTGTACAAGAGGCAATTAACCATAACTAATCCAGCTTTAAGGAGAGCTACAATGCAATATAGTATTACAAATAAAAGGAAAACAAATGCCACTGTATTCGTACAGTATACAATCCATCTCACGAGTGGTATACTGGGGTGGGCATTGTAAGGGTTTCGTACTGTCAGTCTAGCCATCCTTCTATCTAGAAAGGATGACAGAAGTAACAAAAGAAAACTTATATCTTTGAAACACATACAGAAAGAGTGAGGGTAGATGGCGTGTTTTACAATATCAGGGAAAAAAAGTCCAGGTGAGCAATACGTAGCCTTTATCAAGTTGAAGATTACTATTATTTAAATGTCGAAAGCACTGACTGTCTTTTGCTACTTTTCATTATGGCCTTTAAAACTTTGGAGAGTAAGAACGTGTCTTCTGCCGATCTCATAACGGGCATCGAACAAACTAAGGAACGTGGCCTTTGGGGGAGAAGGGTGGACAGCCACCAAAGTTATTTTTCTCATCTGTCCTCTGTATGAATGGGACTATGGAGCAAGTGGTGTGGAATTAATGGGTGCAACAGCTGTACAGACAATCAATAACACAGACCATTCTGGAAAGAACACATCACTTGTGCTCGTTTGATGAGCTTGTCACATTCTAATCCCTCTCCCCATCCTGTTTCACTTTTAGGAAACTTTGACTGCTGGCGTCAGCTATTCTGATTCTGAAATAGGATCAGCTTTTTACTACAACAGCCTTCTCTTTTTATTTATTGTATCTATTCATGGCTTGCGAATAAAGGCAGGAAGAAATTTGCTGAATTTAAACCTTTAAGAACTGTGGTAAGGGATTTGGGGGGGGCGGGGAGGGAATGATTTGTATACAATTTAATACCTATTTAAAAGTATTTATTTGCAAAAGAGGTCTTTTTCATGAAATAGCTTGTTGAGATTGCAGTTCTTCAAGGGTTAATACTATGTGGGTTATATTGTGCCTTAATGTAATGCTATTTAAAGATATATTTATTTTGAAAGTTGTACTGTGCTGCGCTCGAAAGGAAACAACGTTGGATGTGAAACTGTAAAATTATGTATTCATCTCATGGTATAAGTTATTTTGTAGGTTTAGCAGTAGTATATAAAATATTAACCTAATCAACTAAGGATGCTGACATGGGTTTATTTAAATTCAGTAAGTACACCCTTTCGTAAGGGTGCTTTTAAAATACTTTTAAAAAAGGGTTTGATCTTAAAAATGCTAATTTCATGATTTTCCCTCTATCTCCTTAACTGTTAACCTTCTTTCTTGGAAGAGCCCTATATTCATTTTCAGGAGAATTTGCTTCCCTGAAAGAGGGAAATGGTAAAGGATTGGGTCATAAAACTCCGCATACCTGCTCAGGAATAAGATCTGATAAATGTGCTTCTGTTGTCTGTAAGGAAGCAGTTCTGTGAGGTCTGGTCTCACCAATAACATCTGCAAATAGGAATCCTATTAATCAGATTAATTATGTGGGAAACGACTACATGATTTGTCTGGTTCATGAAGTTCCTATTTATAGACAACATGGGGCCACTTGGGAGTATACTGACAGAAACCGTTCCCATGACACAACAGTAGCATTTAATTGGGCCACTGATCTTGATGTGACTTAATCCCAACCAGATTAGGAAGATTGGGTCTGAAGTCCCAGTTTTAATTGCAGACAAAAACAAACAATCCTCACATAACATCATCCACATAATGTGTTTCTGGTGGGTTGTCAGTATTTTCTCCTACCGAAAAAAAGGGTAGTTTTTTCACTTTCATCTCTGTATAAACCAACTATTATTCCTTTGCTAGGAAACGCTGCTTTACATTGTCCTGTGAAACTGCAATAACTTGCAATTTTTATTCTTGACCTAAAAAAGGAATTTAATATTTTACACTGTATTGGAATCTTTTTATACTTGAACAATTTTCATACAAGGGAAGACAGGATAGCATTTTTATGGACTTTGTCCGATGTCACTGGATTTATTTTGAACACTAGCCAGTGTTATATAAGATAGATAACATGACTCACATGTTATTTATTATGTATATTGCTTTATAATGTTTCAAATCTTCTAACCTATACTCTTGTATTTAAAAGAAAAAATAAAATATTATTGAATCCAACACATTTATGGGTGTGCAGAAATGGTTTGTTACCAAATGGAAATGTGTTTTCTGAGTGTATTGCAGCCTTCCCCACTGGTCATGCTGGATGGAGGTGATGGGTGCTGTAGTCCCAACACATTAGGAAAGTAGCAAGCAGGAGAACACTGCTCCACTTATGGGAAGAAGACGTTTAGTCATTTCAGAGATGGAACTCATTATATATAGGAAACTTGACTTGCTATGTGTTAAGTCAGCATTTCTCAACCTGGGGGTCAGGACCCCTGGAAGGGAGGTCCCGAGGGGGGGTGTCAGAAGGGTCACCAAAGACCACCAGAAAACACAGCATTTTCTGTTAGTCATGGGGGTTCTGTGTGGGAAATTTGGCCCAATTCTGTTGTTGGTGGGGTTCAGAATGTTCCTTGATTGTAGGTGAACTATAAATCCCAGCAACTACAATTCCCAAATCTCAAGGTCTGTTTTTCCAAACTCCACCAGTCTTCACATTTGGGCATATTGAGTATTCATGCCAAGTTTAGTCCAGATCTATCATTGTATGAGTCCACAGTGCTCTCTGGATGTAAGTGAACTACAAGTCCAAAACTCAAGGTCAATGTCCACCAAACCCTTCCAATATTTTTTGTTGGTCGTGGGAGTTCTGATTGTAGGTTAACTATAAATCACAGCTACTACAACTTCCAAAAGAGAAAATCAATCCTCCCAACCCCATCAGTATTCCAATTTGAGTGTATCGGGGATTTGTGCCAAATTTGGTTCAGTGAATGAAAATATATTATCCTTATATCGGATATTTACATTACGATTCATAACAGTAGCAAAATTACAGTTATGAAGTAGCAACAAAAATTGGGGGTCGCCACAACATGAGGAACTGTATGAAAGGGTCACGGCATTAGAAATGTTGAGAACCACTGTGTTAATTGTTAAGATTAAAACAAGTGCATCTACAGTGCATAAATCACTGATGGGGTTTACTATTACAATGTGCAGCTATTAGTGTACATGGCTATAAAAATGTGACAGATTTACAACTCCAAACAGCTATCCATGCTAATTAAAATGGAATCTCCAGGCAGGGCCTATAAAAGGGAGGTTCAGCCAGTATATCTATCCAGGACCTAGAAGCCAAGAAAGGGCCTGTGAATTTCACGCCATGTCTATCATACCTTTAAAAAACCCCAAAAAAAACGTGTTTTTGTGTTCATGTCAACTGCTTGATGTAAAATGTTAGCTGAAATAGATATGTGCAACAAGCTCCCCCATGGTGCATGAAAGCATTTTTTTCACCTTGCAACATTTCTGTGAGAATGTTCTATATCTAGGGATCTGTATACTACACAATTATAGTGCTATTCTTCCACTTTAACTGCCTTGGTTCCATCCTATGGACTCATGTGGTTTGTAATTTGGTTGAGGAACTAGCGGTCTCTGAAAATTATAAAACAGAATAGCACTTCTGTTGTGTGAATGAGTCCCAAATAGTATTGGCAGCATCTCACACTCAAAATAGTGATTATCTCCTTCCAACCATGTTTCCAGGGACATGGCTGGCTGCTACTGGAACCAGCACACAAAATGGCCTGAGATTGTGATCTTAAACCTCATAGATACAAGCTAGAATCACTGAAAACTAGCAAGTAAAGGGTCACACACGTTCCCTCATGCACAGCAAGTAGTGAAAAGTCCTGCATCTTCAGCAGGGTCAGACATGCAGTTTGTGAGGACATCTAGCCTTTCAGAGTAAAATCAGTACAGAGTTTAATAAAAGTGTGATCACTAGCCAGTACATGGCAACATAGAACAAACAAATGCAGAAAATGTGTATATATGAGGCATAGAGTCCTAGACAAGAAGAACACAGGTAATGTATTGTCGAAGGTGTTCATGGCTGGAATCACTGGGTTGTTGTAGGTTTTTTGGGCTATATGGCCATGTTCTAGAAGCATTATCTCCTGATGTTTCGCCTGCATCTGTGGCAATCAATCTCACAACCTCTGAGGATGCTTGCCACAGATGCAGGTGGGATGTCAGGAGAGAATGCTTCTAGAACATGGCCATACAGCCCGAAAAACCTACAACAACCCAGAACATGGGTAACTTTCACAGCAGTGCCAACATGCTGTGAAAGTTAGGGAAACAGCATGCTGTTCCATTATTCCAAGTAATATACCAGTATTATATCATAAGGGGAAGTGTTACTTTACAAGCAGTCAAATCCTATGCGTGTCCACTCTGAATTAAGTCCGCCACATTTAATTAGTAGACTCCACAAAGTAGGTGTATATAGGATTACAGGCTCCGAGGTTCATGTGATAAGCCTTTGAGAAACTTATCCACCACTTGTTCATAAGTTCCTAGTGCAAATGACACTGAACTCCATCGCAAAAGTCCAGTGGCAGTTTGCCATTGCCTCCCTCTGAAATATAGCTTATAAGTACCAAGTATCCAAATATTAACCAGACGTAGGCTTGCTTTGCTTCCAAGACCAGACAGGTTCTGGTCCCTTTGGGCTCTCAGCGTGTTCCACCTAATATATTTTAAAACACAACTTTACTTCTCACTGCCACTGCTCAGATACGATACCTTCGCTGTTTTTTGTTGTTGTTGTTTTTTGCTTTTGTTTTTTTCGTGTCAGGAGCTACTTGAGAAACTGCAAGTCGCTTCTGGTGTAAGAGAATTGGCCATCTGCAAAGACATTGCCCAGGGGACGCCCGGATGTTTTGATGTTTGACTATCCTTGTGGGAGGCTTATCTCACGTCCCTGCATGGGGAGCTAGAGCTGACAGAGGGGGGGTCATCTGCAATCTCTGTGGATTTGAACCTCCGACCTGTCGGTCAGCAGTCCTGCCGGCACAAGAGTTTAACCCATTGCACCAC